GGGGGGGGCTCAGATAAAGTTCTCTTTTTGGGAGGCTATTTTTGAATAGATGGGGGGGGGGGCTTTAATTGAAGAAGGCAGGGAGGGGTGGGGCCATATTTTAAGAATACCAGGTTCTTCAAGTACACAGGTGATTCGCGAACAATCCGTTACGGACGCTCCGCGTTCGCGCGCGGTTGAAATAGGAACCGCATACGGACCGTACGCGAACCGTTTTTAGTAAATAGTTTTTAGTAGAAAAAAACGATGAAATTGGACCAACTGTTTTTCAAAATTCGAAAATTTCGAAATTCAGAATTTTCGGAGACCAGAAAGTTTAGTAAACCTGACATTTAGTTATCCAAAATTTGAAACTTAAGGAAACCGGGAGTTCACATACTTCGGTTTCAGAACATAAAAAATCATTTTTCAGTCGTTTGGAAATTTTGAAAATTTGGGAAATCAAACATTCCGCGAAGAAAATTGATAGTATGCAAAATTTTCAAAAAATTTGGTGAATTCGGAAACTCGAAAATTTTTTAATTAGAAATTAAATTGTAAGATACGGAAAGCGGAAGCCAGGAGGTTGAGCCCCCGACAGGGGGCCTAAACCGACTGGTTACTTCACATTCATTGAGTACGAAATCTCTATTCCACGTGATCCATTATCTATGTTTAACTACAAAAGAAGACTCTTCCTCTTCGGAATTTTAAACAGAGAACTCACATTCAAAAATCTAAGAAAATGAGAAGGAAGAGGTTTCATTTGAAAACAAAACGAGAAGAGCTCAAACACAGGAAAATGGAGATGAGGTGTTTGGCAAAAACAAAAATGAGGAAGCGAGAGGAGCAAAAAAATGAAGATTTTAAACTGCAAAAAAATGAAGATTTTAAGCGGGTAACTTGTTGTTAAAGAAGCGCAGGCATGGCGAGAAAAAAAAAGAAAAACGACAAAATTCTTATGGCAAGACGCTTCTTGAACGAAATTCTCAAAAGAGGAGGGAGATGAGCTAGAAGAAAAAGAAGAGGAAGAGACCTCTCGGACACTCTTCAAATCGACGGAGTCTTTTCAAAAGTTTGTAAAAAGGCAAAATAAGAATCAGAGCAAGAAAAAAAAAGATTGATGAGGGTATGAAAGAAGGGTAAAACATGAAAAAAAAACTACACAAAGACAACGATTTAATGAAGAGAAAAAAAAGAAGCGAGCAATTTGGAATTTCAATGAGTTCTTCTTTTTTTTTTCTTTTTTGAATGTGCATTCGAGACTTTAACATTTTAAAACGGCTACATGAAATGCGTCACTCTCGTCGTTTGCATTCTAGATGGGTATTCAATGAAATAATTCTAGATTACTGTAGCACTTGAGAAGAACTCATTTGTTTTCTTCTTCAAAGAAATTTTGTATGTCAGCATGAACAATGAACACATTTTCTCGTTTTCTCGTATAGCTAACGGCATGTCGGAATCCACAATATTTTCGCCGTCCATCTTTCCCGAAAAACGACGTTATTTTTGACCGAATAGAATGGACACTTGAAAACATGTAAAAAGATGAGAACTATGTTTTTCACTTACTCAATTGCTGTTTTTTTCTGCAAATTCGAGAACACATTTTATGCATGTTTAATGAGTTTTTGTCTGTGTGAAAAGATGACGAAGGGAACGGATAAATAGAAATCTTGAGTAGGAAGACCCCAATGATTGAAACTTGACACTTCAAGGAAGTTGTGGGTGTCTGTCAAAGAAAACGAAAGGATTCAGATGACATAGTTAATTTGAGTTAGCATAAATTTTTCCGAAAGATGAAAATAAGCTTAATAAAAATTTCAAACGCCCACTGATATAATGAGAGTTTGATAGCCAGATGCTTATAAGAAGCAACGGAATTCCATCAAAACACCCAAACTAGCAAAACTTTATAGCTTATTACAGAATATGTCTGTTGATTACCAAAATAAATGGAATTTTATGATCTTCCTTCAGAAATTCAGAAATTCAGAAAGCCAGAAATCACGGTGTTTTTTTTTCCGGAATGATTTTCGAAAATTTTTTTCGCGCCTTTTTTGATGGCTTTGTTGAGTAGCGTTCCAGCAGTTCAGTTTGAATTTTTTGCACAGGGACCAAACGGTCGTAGCTTTTGAGCGCATGTAGACGAATTTTCGAAAAAAAAACACAGTGAGAAATTGCCGTAAACACTCTGATAGAACGCCATCTCTAGATTTTAAGCCACTTCAAAACTTGGTTCTTTCGAGAGATATCAAAAATTAGTCAACTAACAAAATGTTTTTGATATTAGAATAACATTTTTGTCAGTTGACAACTTTTTGGCATCTTTTATAAGAAATGAGATATATGTGATAGAAGTTGACGGTTTGGGTGGGGACATGATATTATATGCAAGGGATATACTCATGATCTCTTTGTCAAATCTAAGATGTTAGCTTTTTGATTTTTGAGTTCTGATGACAATGAGAATAGAGTAATCAGACAAAAAGCCGGTAATCCATCGTAACACTCAAATGTGCTATATCGTAAAACAAAAGAAACGAATAGAGAAGATTCGGAGGATCCTTTTGATATTTCCTCCATCTCATCTCAACCAAATGATAGTTGTTTTTGTGCCGCCAGAGGAGCACATTTATTTTTCATCTCATCTCTCTTCTCCACTCTCAACCTTTGTGTTTATCCTTCGCACTACATGGCGGAAGAATAAGATGACGCTCTTGAGATCAAATCAATCATGAAGAGGGGACATCATTTGAAGAAAAAAAAACGAACGGAGACAAAAAGAGCAAAACACATAGGACGATCGAGAGAAATTACGTCAAATCGTCAGGGGAATCCCAGCCGAAACAAGGACGTGTTGATGAGAGAAAAACAGAGGAAAAAAGTATTCAGAGGTCGTTTTTCAGAGAAATAAAGAATAAGAAGACAGGGGCTATTTAGCAGAATAAAGATTCGTTTCAACACTCTCATCTCTTATCAAATTACAAAAAATCGCTGAATTAAATAGGACACTTATCGTTTTTTTCCATTTTGTTGAAATGCCAAATGACACAGATTATTTAAAAGAAATGTGAGATGGATGCCATTTTTACAAAAATACCCAAAAACTAGGAAAATTTAGGAAAAATGATAAAACTCTTAGAAGACAAATTATGAAAACTCTTAGAGATACTTATATAAATGTACCAAAAAGATGGCCAAGATTTTGAACTTTCCAGGGTTCCTAAAGATACTGACCGGGCAGAAATAAGTCTTTTTGGTGGTACGGAAAATGGTAGGATCATGAAAATTCGACCCCTAAGGTTTCTTTCTATCGTGAATCGAATGGCGTTAACAGAATTTTGGTATCTCTTCCCGTTCTCCAGAAATATTTCCAATTTATTGGTTTTTTTTTTTTTTTTTTTTTAATATTGATAAACAAAGTGATTTTTGAGTATTTGTAACTTTCTGGGTCAAGAGCGCCAGATCGAGAACTTTACAAAACTGGAATTTCTTGACACTGTTACAGCTCGAGGCTCTAATTTCTTTTTACCTCGATTCAAGTATTGAGAAAGTTGGAAATTGTCTCGCAAGACGACATTTTCCTTTCTGAGCTTACACTTGCTTAGCTACAGCCAAGGCTGTGCCGTGGCCGGCCGCGGCAGCATAGCTGCGTGGCTTTTTGGAAAAACCTTTGAAAATGGATTCCTTCCTGAATATTTTTATTTCAGAAAAAAAAAACAACTACCAGAGGGACGGTTTTGAGGCACATAGTCTGGAATCCAGTAAAAAGGATTCGGACAAAGCATTTTTCGAGGATTGCGGAATACGGAATACGGATTCTGCGTTCTACTAGGTCTCTACTAGGATTGTGATAATTTTCATCAATATAGACATCCTCGGCCGGCCGCGGCTTTCTCGGCATTGGAGTAAAAAGCCACGGCCTCTAAAATCGAGCAGCCGCTGTCCGTGGCCGCCATTTTTCACAGCTTTGGCTACAAAGAGTTTAGATATTTTCTAATTCAAAACACAGTGCTTTTATGTTTGAAACTTTATTTACAACCGTTTCTTATTCGGTTTCTGTTTTCATGGTTCGAGATCGTTATTGCATCACAGCTTTCCAGTAAAGAAAATCTACAAGGAATCGGAAAGAAAGAAGAGACACTGGGAAGACAAAGAGAACATTTCAAATCTTTGGGATGTGGAGAGAAAATGATGGGGACAAAATAAATAGGATAACGAGAAGAGGCGGGGAATGAACAGAATGAATTATGCTGGAATGTTCAGTTGGGTGATGATGTGGAATTGGTCGGCGGCTGTATTCAGTTTAGTTTCCATGTGGGAGTAGTTCTTGTAGATCTGAAAAAAAGAATTTGGTGTTTGGATAAGATTGGATAAGGCTTCACTCCTTTTTTTTCGAAAAAAGGGACGCAGTTTTAGATTAATTCAATTTGATCTGTTTTGGAATAGATTTCAGACAAATCTTTGATCCCAATATCTAACCTTGTTTCCGTCGGACATTGGAATCTCACTTGTTGGACGTCCCCAGACCATATTTCCGTCTCCAATCAAGTCGTCACCTGGAAATAAACTACAGTAAAACACAAATCAAAAATCAAATTATCATGTGCCAGTGAGAACAAAAAAGATCAACATAAAAACACGAGTGTGGTTATTCTCACATCCCTTCCCCTTCCGATTTGTTCCCAAGCAACATATTCGTGCAAGTGTCAAACACCGAATGTGAAGTCACAAACTAATATTAGGTTTGCAGGAAAGTAACTGTCCCTTGTTTTATTTATAAATAATACAAAATCGGGATTAATCCAAGATTAGCATTATGCACCGTCGTGGTCCACGACATGTTGGCAATGTTCTGATAACTTGTGGATACAATACCTTCAAAAGCCAGCTAGCCACGAATCAAAGTATTCATTTTTCCTGTTTTTCACATAAATGGTGCAAATTTTCGTATTCTCGAGATGAGGTTGTATCTCTCCGAATATCCAATAATCTGATAGAGCTCAGTCGGGACTAAAAATAGGTGAGGGAGAACGGTCCCACTGAAGCTGCTCAGGTCTGACTTGACTGCAGGTAAAAAATGAAAAACCTCATGTTCACGGAAAGTCATGCCGTACCTGAGCCGCTTTGGCTGGACGGTCCTCCTTTACCCCCGTTAAAGACTTGATTCAGCTCTATCAGATTATTGGTTATTCAAAAGTATACGACGTCATCTGGAGCTTAAGGACTTTAACACAATTGATGCCTGAAAAAATGGACTGGATGGATACTTTGACTTGCCACTAGCTGGCTTTTGGAGGGATGGTACCCACAAGTTACCTGAACATTGCCAACATGTTGTGGATTACGACGGTGCATATTGCTAATTCTGGATTATTCTTGTGTTTGTGTTATTTACTAATAAAAAATGGCAGTTACTTTCCTTCCAACCTAATATATACATACCAAACTTACGTGTCATTCTTCGCAGATCAATCAGTTCGTCATCTAAAAATTTGTGAAATATTTTCCCTCTCTTTTTGAATACATTTTGGAGAAACTAATGATTCTTTCGCATCTTTGACCGAGTTTTACGACTTTTTGACGTCACAGTTAATGGTCATAAAGTAATAAAAGCTAATGTTTCTCTTCTACTAACCCATACTCCACATGCTGAAAATGTGTTGAGCTGGTTTGAAGCGAGAGTTGTTGAGATCCATGAGGAATTTGGAGTAAGTCAATCCGTTGCATGGATATGGAAGTGGAGACGTGGCGCACATTCCGTCCATTCTGGTTGGATAGCATGTCTCTCCAGGCCACAAACCGTTCTGAAAATGTTTAACTATAAAGCTGAAAATATGCTCGAGTCTTGGTAACTACGGTAATCCACTACTTACATCATCATTACAAGTTGGCCAAACAACTCCAAGCCAATGTCCAACGCATGCGCACAATCCAAAGTTGGCTCCAGCGATTCCCAAAATTGCTCTGACTTTGGTTCCCAATGGTTTTCCAATGTTGCAGGAACCTGAAACAAACTTTCGCATTCACTTTAATTCTACTTTAATTCTCACCGTCGTCAGCATTGATGTAGCCTCCAAGAATCACTTTCCTGGCGAGAGTTACTCCCATCGAATGCGAAATAATGTTAATTTGCTTTGCTCCGGTGTAGTCCATCACTGCTTCCACAAATTTTCTCAACCGGAATACAGTGACACAGTCATGGTCCCTGAAATTTTTGAATTTTCGAACTCATAATCGCTCAGTTCCTGGACAGAAAGAGTTCCAGTTTGAATTCCGAAAATTCCAGAGCGTCTTGAAACTCCAGTTACGTACTTTCTTATCAGTACAAGAAACACAGCAACTGATAATAAATATCAACATCAATTAGGAAATCAAACGCTTTACGTGTTTCCAGCAGATCAAAGAAGCAAATCATACCTTTCGACAGCTGCAGTCGTATTCGTGTTTCCCCAGGATGTGCCGTAGAGATGGGCAAGAGTGTAGCCTTGGTTCAGGAAGTACTGAAAACGAAAACAAGTGAAATAAGAGAAATTTTAATCTTCTATAGAAGGTGCTAATCCCTAAATTATTCCAAAATCTTTAGAATTGAACTGTGTTAGTTGTAGTCAACTGCTATCAAATTCAATTAAAAGATAAGTCTACTGATAAAACAGTTGAATATCAGCAGCTACTTCTTATCAAGTTCGAAATTAAAGTTCGGTTTTTGCATAGTCATGATTCTTCGATTCGGTCTTTTGGACACACATTTGTTTTCTTTCAGTGGAAATGTTTGACCATTACCGTAATCTTGTTGACTACACATTTCTCATTTCAAAAGGCAAAATACCTCGACAGTAGAAGTCCATCCAGTGGAGAAATTGTTGGCAGTAAGGGCGGCGTCCGAGTTTCCATGGAAGAAGATTACCGGGTCTTTGGTGGTATCAAACTGTAAATCGTTTCAGTAAAACAGAACACGACATGTTTTAAGTCATTTGGAGGTTTAAGAAGCCCCATTCATTGCAAATTTCAGCCGATAAGGAGAAACTGGAAGTTTGGTTCCATAAATAAACTACACAGAACTAGCAGACTGAAAGTGTACTGTGTCAGACATCACAAAGGATTATTATATAGACCACCAACTACAGTGTGCTTTATTTTTAAAACTTTTGGATTCTTGAACTGTTGAATTACAGGTTAGAAACATCAAGAAATGTTTCGAAATGTCAGAGCTCAAAAAAAAAAGGAACTTGTAATTTCAGAATTGTGACTCAAGACTTTATGTCGAAACGAAGAACTGATCCCATAACTACATTTTTGTGATTTCTGTGTAGTTTCTGATTTGCTAGTTCAAATCCAAATGAACTCTATTTGAACGTGGTGAATATGTATCCGTAGTATGTGTTTTACTCAACGCTCCATATGTGTGAAATGCCAGAGTCTACAACACAGAATATGTGCTCCTCGTCGTTTCGCTAATCACGTAGAGTTTCCCAGAAATCTAGGTTGGAAAATAAACTTGTGAATACTCTAGTTGGTTTACTACTCAAGGTGATGTTACTTTTCGAAATTTTCTACAATTATTTCATGAACTGGGAGATTCCTACCGAGTTATAATCTAAATTTAAACGTTGTTCCATTCCAGAAAAATTCTTGGCTTTTTAAGAAGATTTTCATCTTACAAACCAAAAAACCTGTATTAGAAGGGCCCTTTAATAGAAGGGACCCTCTAATAGAAGAGTCCTGTGAGAGGGGCTGGAAAAAATAGAAGGGCCCCTTTCAAAATGTTTATTGTTTGAAATCTAACATTTCCGTATGTTTTCATTGAAAAATTTTAGAAATGTAAAGCCAAATGTCCTATTTCAGAAAATCCTCAATGAATTAGCTTTTTGAGTTGTTTTCCCTCTAACATAACGTAAAACCTGTATTAGAAGAGCTCCTTTAGTTAAAATGCCCCTCTAATAGATGTGGCCTCCGGGAGGGAAAAATAGTTATTTGAAATTTTTAAATTCGGTACGTTTTCATTGAAAAATCTTTCGTATTCCAAAATTTACAGAAAATTATTTTAAAAAAATGAGAGGGTCGGCCCTTCTAGTACAGGTTTTACGGTAGATAAATTTGGAGTACAGTTAATCCTTCACTATCAAGAAAATATAAAAACTCACATATTGCATTTCACTGGACATTCCTCCGAAACTTCCAGCAGTTCCTAGATCTAATCGTGCATATTCGTACTTTTCGTATCCGTTCCTATCCAGCCATGAGTCGAAATGAGCACTAATTGGTCCATATTGCGGAATGTCTTGTGAGAAAACTGTTGATAGCAGCAGCAGTATTGAGGAGGAGAAGAGCATTTCTCTCTGAAATCAAGTTTCTTGTAACATTCGCTTTTTATAGCAGTGTCCCAGTAATAGTAGTTTACGAAAGAAGTAAGTACCGTAGGACAAGCTCCGCCCACTTTTCAAGAAGACATAGAAAGAGCATGAGAAGAAAAAGAAGAGAAAAGCCTAAAAAAGTAGAATAGCTGACGTCAAATTTCCATTTTTCTCACCGACATCTTCTTGGTGGTCTCTTCTTCTTCTGACATCGTCATTTTCTAGGTGACATTTTCAGATTTTCGGATCCAAACAACAATTCTCTCGAATTTCAGAACTCATTGGGAGATGAGACAGAGTCTTCTGTTTTCTGTTTTCTATTTTGATAACCCTACGAATACTGGTCTCTAATTATGTTATCAGTGTGGCACCGTTTCGCGAAAAAAATCATCAGAAAGTGGAAGACAAACAAAATAAGTGAAGGAGTTGAAACCGAGAAAAAAGCAAGGTGATGCTGATGATGGGAGAAAAAAATGAGAAGAAGGAGCAAACAGTGAAGAAAAAGAGTTTGAAGAGTTTTCACTCCTTAAATTAGAACCTCCCACTTTTCTTATCATTTCTTTTTTAGTTTTCTGAAAATGACGTAGACATTTTGGTGGGGTCTGGAGACACGAAATTGGCGGAAGTGGGTTCCGATTTCATTCTCATTTAGTACTTTTTTGTGGAAGTAAACGTAGTTTCTTTAAAAAGAAAGTTTGTTTAAGATCATATTGACTAACTGTTGCGTGGGATGTCGGGTGCAAGATCTAGGTTCGATCAGTTCAAGTAAACAATTTGTTGTTTGGATTTTATGGCTTTACTTTGACAGTAGCCCATGCTATAATTAGCAAGTATCTCTGAAGGACCAAAAACTACAGTATCCCATTACTAACTGAAAGGTTGAATTTCACCATTTTTAGAGAAAACATGTCAAATAATTGCTTAATGCGGATCGTCGCAACTTTTGGATTACGGTACCTTTTTTTTCTTGAATGACTCAATATGCAATTTTGAAAGTGACATATTTGCAGCTATTGGTGAACTACACCCGTCAGTTTTGCATGTTTATTCTTCTTGTAAATCAGTTACCATCTTTACCAGATGTTTTAGAAATGAAACAAAAATCATAGAGAAAAGAGAACTTCAGAAATGGAGAATGCACTTATTTGAAAGATTTAGATCGGAATAAATAGGAATCTAAAGAATAGAGAGGGTGGAGTATGCTTATGGAATACTCGTTGTTTGATTTTCGTAGATTGCAAAGTTTAGGAAGATTTTTTGGAGTGAAGAGATCAAAAAACCCAAGAATACTGAGACACGGATTAGTGAAATTATTGGATGTAGATTGCGCCAAAAGATGTGAGATCGTTCAAAAAGATTCATTCGAGATACATGGCAAAAAAGTGGTGGAATTCAAGAAACTGATCAGTTCTAACGAGGAAGAAGCATGCAGATTCAATCGAGAAACTCGGGAATTTCTCGTTTGTTGCATCCAGAAAAAATCGTTTAAACCTTCATCAGTATCCACTCTCACACTGAACCAAAAATTTCCGTTTCTTTTCAGTTTTTCTTGTTTCGAGATATGCGATTTTAGGATTCGGAGGGTACCGTTCAAGAAGATGTGCAAAAACGTATTTTTCAGTTGATTTTTGGTCATTTCAACAATGTTTAGGAGTCTTGAGCTCGGCTGTTGAGTTTCCTATCATTTTGAAAATTTAGGAGGGTGTCAAACAGACCTAGTTGGAAAACATTGCAATCACAGAATTCTTTGAAATTCTTAGTATACCGTAAACACTCTAATAGAACGCCACACAGACCGTCCACTTCTTTTGAGAGATATCAAAATGTTGTCAACTGATAAAATGCTTATCATGATATCAGCAACATTTTATTAGTTTTGATATCTTTTACAGAAAATGAGATACATGGGCTGTAATTTGACGATTCGGGTGGCGTTCTATTATAGTATTTACGGTATTTGCCGATTTCTGAAAGACACCATTTTTTCAGGTCTTCAGTACAAAAATGGGCAAAAAATTGGTGTGTTTCAGAAAAGGAAAATATCTGAAAAACTAGGAACTTTCAAAAAAAAATTGTGAATACAAAGTTTTCAATCTAGGTTCGTTTTACACCTTTCAAACTTTTCGAAGTCGAGCTTCAGACTCCTGAAAATGTTAAAAATGGCCGAAAATCGACTTAAAAATTGGTTAAACTTAAAAATCAGACGATTATCCAAATTTGAAAAATAGCTTGGAAATTTCAGACGTTTTTTTCCAATTGTTTCTGTGAAAAAATTGTTTTTGTATGACAGTCTTATCTTGGAAAGTTTTTTTATTGACAGAAAAATCGTCCGTTTTTTCTACTTTTTTCGAAAACCGGGGCCTAAAATTTTCTGAAATCCCGGACCGTGCGTTGAAAGTTCGGAAAAAAGCCCGGCCCGTTGCATGTATAGTACTATTAGTAATAACTTGGATTCATTGAAATGATAGTCTGGTTCACTAAACAAAACCTCAACAGCACTTCTAGTTTACAAGTGGCCTTTTCAAAAATTTGGAAATTTCGATTTGAAAAAAAAACCTTGCAATAAACTCAAAACACAAAATCAGAAAACTTCTCTTCTTACTCATTTTTTATGCTATTATATAGTGTCAATTTTTCTAAATAATTATGAGTTACTCTGTTTCTATTTTCTCAAATCCACACATCATTCTTCAAAAGTTTCCCTCACATCATCTGACTCCGCCCATTCCCACCCAATTATCGTTTTTTATCCCAAAGTTCATATCGCGGTACCAGTCGATATCATCACTTTCTTCCATCTAGAAAATTTCCAAATTCAAATATTCCAAATCGGATATTCTTCACTTCCTTTCTCGAGTAAAAAAGCTGTCAATGACTGACAGATGAAAGTGCGTAAGCAGAAAGAAAAATAATCAAAGAGCTATATAGTAGTCTGAAACTTGAGAGGAAAATGTGTGTGATTTATAAATAAATTGCACACCAAAACACGAAAAAACGGATGGTATCTTGGGCAGAAATTCAAGAAGATAAAAAGTAAAAAAGGACACTTCCTTAGTACACATTATTTCTATTTGTGTGTGTTTTGTGAGACCACCTAGAGTCTAATGAGGAATTATTGAAGAAATCGGAGAAGAGGAAAAATAGCAAAAAATATATAAGGAACAAAAATATGAAGATTTCCGGGGGAAACATTCGTTTTTTGTTGCCATTCACAATAGACAAACTGTTTGAAAAATTGAATACTAACCAGAAAAAAAGGGAAAAAGTTGCAGACCGATGAGAAAAGAAACAACCTTGACCAAAAGTTCAAAACTGAATGGTGGTTTTGGAACTTCTTGAAAGAACGGAACCAGTGTGGGCATATTGTGGTTTTTGATCAAAAGAGTTCTAGGATTCTTAATGAAGTTTAGATGGCTGAATGCCGTAAAATATGTGATAGATGCACCCCAACACTGTCAAGTTTAAGCTATTTTTTAAACTCTTATGCCAAATACCACAAATGTGTCAACTGACAAAACACTTTTGATATTATGACAACCGATTTATCAGTTGATAGCTATTTTCATGTCTTTGACAGGAAGCAGGGAAATATGGCTCAAAGTTAATAGTTTGGGGGCTATTACAGGGTTTACGGTATGTTGTGAAATCGGCAGTACTGATTCTTTATAATTCAGAAAACCTTTATACAATGTATACAGTAATCTTTTTAGAAGGATGATCAGTCGAAGAGTAAAAGTTGTACTTCAATTTTCGAACTATAAAAAAATGGGTTTATTCATTCTTTTACTTATATTGCAACTATATGTTCACCCTTTTGTATTACGTGGGTGTTTTGTAGTGAGATAAGCCGTTTTGAACGGTTTCGTCAGTCTTCCTTCTTTGGTGATGATCTATGCAATGACAAATTTTGGAATTTTGTTTGTTTGTTGGTTTTATAAGACTCTGGAACAAAACTTTAATTTGTATCAAACTGAACTTGCAACATACACATCATAGTTATGTGAATGTGCTAAAATTGGATTCAGATGAAGTCGATCGAGTTAAGCTTCAACCATTATGGGTCCCAACAACCAGTCGGGAAGAATCGAACAGAAAAAACTAGTGCAAATGCGATCGGAAAGCATATTAACAATCTGCAAAAAATACTGCTCAGAATCTTCAGAAATTTAGGGACGTTAGCCAAAAAATTATTGATAGTCTTATGTACAGTATCGGTCAATAGGATATTCAAAAACGTATTTTTCAGTGATTTTTGGCCATTATGACCATATTCAGGAGTCTGGAGCTCGGCTGTCAAATTTTTGATCACTTTGCAAATTTTGGAGGGTGTAAAACAGACCTCCCCGAATGAAAACTTTGCATTCACAGAATTTCTTGAAAATTCCTAGTTTTCAAATTATTTCTGATTTCTGGATGGCACCTGTTTTCCCAAAAACGGAAAGGAGGGTCTTTCAAAAATCAGCAAATAGCTGAAAAATTAGGAAATTTCAAAAAATTCTGTGAATGCGAAGTTTTTATTCTATGTCTGTTTTACACCCTCCATAGTTTTCAAAGTGATAAAAAACTCGCCGAGCTCCAGGCACCTGAAAATAATCAAAATTAATGACCGAAAATCAACTGAAAAATGGGTTTTTGTATATCTTATTGAGCTGTACTGTATTTCTTCATGTCTAACTCATCTGAAGAGTTTCCGCTTTTTATTGTTTCTACATTTTTCAATTCATGATCATCTACCAATCTGTCCTCATCTTCTAACTCGTATTATCAGCTCACGTGCTCCTCCTCACCCAATGATCCATTCGTCTTTTTGTCACCGGTCAGCTGTCGAATCGATTCCCATCCCAATCTCAATAAACCTCTTGTTTTTCTCTCTTTGTTTTCACACAAAATGACATCTTTCGCACACATTCTCTCAATATTTCTTCTTATTCTGATTACACTCGAATCGGTTTTCGCATTCTGTTATCCCAAAATACCATTGTTGGATTTACAGCCAGCACAGGTTTCAGAAAGTTTTATGATTTTTCAATAAACTTGAGTTTCAGTACAATGGATCGTGGTTTGTCATTGCTCGAAAGCCATCTGCTTCCAGATATTTTTTGCCAAAGGATATCAATTCCAGCATGATCAGCTTAATTCTGAACAAGGATGCCTTTTCTTTATCTTTCTCAGAATATCATACAGTGTTAGTTTTTTTTTTCGATTCGAGGGAGTTCTGGAATCCAAACACATGAGTTTCTAATTAATGAATCATCATCGATTTCAGCAATGCAACATGCCAATCTCTGACCGGAAACATGACAAAACATAAAGGAGGATACATGCTGGAAGTGAAACAAGCGGTTGGAACTAATTATGTTGAGAAGAGTAAGAAGCTATTTATAAAGTTGAACATTGATCAATTCTAACATTTTCAAGTATTCTTTCGACCAATCTATCATGGATACTCTGGAGAGCAAAATGAGGAAATGAATATGGTTCTGTATGGATGTTTGGATGGAAATGATAATGGTATCTCTGAAAATCGAACGATTCTATGAAATTGAACTTTGTTTAGGTGGCTGTAAAATTGGCGACGAACTTGTTCTCATCATGAGTAACTCTCGACATCCACAAACTCTTCAACTCTATAAATCTGCTCAAGTCATCGAAGATGAAGCATGCATTGATATTTTACATTTCACAGCATTAGACACTTATAGTTAAGACTTTTTGACATTTTGGAATGAAGAGAGACCAATAAGAACAATTTCAGCTGAATGTGGAGATGAAATGGTCGATGAAGATCAGAAGTTGAGACACGCCAAGATCGACGAAGACAATGAATTCGTGGATGTAGAGTGTCGAGTGGAGAATATCAGACCAGCTAACAACAATATTTCCAATTTCTTTGTGAGTTTCAAAATGACACATTTGAAAAATCAAGGCTCGGTAGGGCCTTTCTGGACCAGGGCCAGAGATTTTCAGAGCTAGGGGTTTCCACAAAATTTGTGAACTTTCAAAAAATTATTTTTTTTTCAGTTTTTTTTTGAGTAAACGATATTTTCAATACATAAAAATCGTTTATCTTGTTTCTGTTGACCCCGAAATTTTTCTGAAAAAAACAAGAAACAAAATTCTGAAAGCCAGAGCCGAAACGGACCGGGCCGGGCCTGGAAAAGTCTGAAAAAAGCCCGGCGTGGCTTATGAAGTATGCGAAGTTCTTCATTTCATTAGTTTTCAGCTATTTTTTCTAGAACGAACCTCGAGTGTTAACTGTGGTCGCCTACATTGATGCTAGCTTATCAGGAGAACAAATTGCTCATATCAGTTGTCGATATGATTCTGAAACAACTGCGGAATGCGAGTGGATTCGGTATGCATTATCGTAGTCTTCTTCTAATCAATAATTATTTCAGCCAAGATACATGCTTCAAGACAAACTTAACACAAACATTAAGCACAAACCAAATTCAAATTTCATCATCAATTTTGAAAATCAACGGAAGCATTGTTCCCATTGATTGTTGGTTTTTGATGCTTTTAAAATTCCAAATGATCAAAACATAATTTCCAGGGTCAGGATTTGTTCTGTGGGAAAATGGAGACGAATACATATCAATGCACTGTGGTCTTGTTGATGATGACGGAGCGTGTGACTCTGTGAGAGTCTATGTTTGGTCGGATGAGGATCATATGGATCAACCAACTATAAATGAAATCTATAGGGAACTTCAGAAAGTTTGCATCGATCCAACCGATCTCATCTTTCTGAACACTTTCCGTAAACTTAAAAAATCTTTTTTTTCAAATTAAAACTCTAGTGGTTTCAGATGAATGTATCATTCCATCCCCAACACCAAGTCTTCTTCATTGTCAATCTCCAAATGGATGGAGTCCAATCACTTTATCAATGCTCCACGGCGTTTGGTACATCGCTGCTGACCTGAATGCCGACCCAAAAATGTTTCTACAGTCTACAGTTATAAATATGAGAAGAATACAGAATAGTTCGGATCTGGAGTTGATTTATTATGCTCAAAAAGAGAGTGATGGTCGGTGCATTGGACCTGGAAATGGAACAGTTCGTTTGATAGATAATGGAGAACTTCATGTGCATATTGAATACACCTATTCATTTGTTCCAGGTTATAAAAGCTCTATCAAATGTGAGTTTTCAGAAATTTGACTAGAATCTTTTAAATCCATTCTCACAGTCAAATTTCAAATTCTCTACCTGGACAACCAGAGAGCAGTTCTTTATTGGTGTTTCCGTCGCGCTCCAAACGGAACTTGTATTCAACATGATGTCACTTTTATGATACGCTCTCGTCACTTTTCCCACAACGATCTTTCAATGATTCTTCCTTATTTGGAAAAAGTTTGCATTGATCGCAAGGATTTGAGATGGTTTGATCTTCATTGTATGTGTTTTTTTGAGTTTGGTCAACTGGGTTTACTGTAAAACCTGTATTAGATGGACCTGATATTGTTCCAAGGCCTTTTACTTATTCGCTCTTTTTCCGAAAACTTTCATCAAGAAGTTTGGTTGATTCTTGTTCAAATTTTAGGAAAACGTATCACAAAAAAAAACAAAAAACCAAAAATTGTCACAATCACAAAAATTGAGCTTGTTTTTTGAGCAAAAAAACTTTGTTTCAACAAATCTTTAGGATTTTGTGGAGTTTTAGATATATTTTCCCCTGAAAACGTACGGAAATGTATAATTTTCAAACGACGCAATTTCGCAAAGGGCCCATCTTTTTTACAAGCACCTCTCGGAAACACTCTTTTATTAGCAATTCTATTAAGGGACAATTCTATTAAGGGAACTCTTCTAGCACAGGTTTTACAGTACAACTATTTCAGCCCAATGTGGAACGGAAATTTCATCGTCCACGATTCTCCGCAGAGATTTGATCACATTGACTCACTATCATGTGCTTGATATTCTAACAAATGTTCAAGAACCAAAATGTCTGTACAATGAAATTCGAGGCGTCAAAGCTGACTTATATTCCGTAAGAATAGTTTGCAGACCATAAAAACAGCTTTAATTTTTCAGCTTGAACGTGCTGGAACATGGTTCTTGATGTCTCGAATGGATGAAATGAGCATGGACACTTATGCAATGGTGGGAAGAATATTCGCAGTAACAAACACAACTGCAGTCTTGAGACTATTCCAATCAGCGTAGGTATTGAAGATCTTTCGCGAGGTACGGAACCCTTTCAGAGCACTACCAGGAGAAACAAGAGAATGTTTCACCCGAGTCTTCACCATTCGAGAAAGAGAAAATGTGGAAAAGTCAGATTATTGGTACGAGTTGCATTTCGAATCCACAACAAAGAATTCAACATTCAGTAAGTGTGGCATTTGATTGACAGTTCGCTTCAAATTGAAACAACATGCTTCTTGTTTTTGTTTTCAGTGATCTTTCGTTTTCTATTCTACAATCGACATGTTGGAGTCATTTATTCATGCTTGAGAAACAAACCCGATGGAAGGTATCTTACAAAAAAAAGATCCCAACGTTTTTCACTTCGTTTCGCTTCTCTCGCAACGCTCACGAGTGAGTGAGCACAAAACAAAACTAATTATACTAATTAGGATAATATGAAGTGGTGGTTTGGCGGAAATGTGGTTGGTGGGAACTGGGCGAAAAGAAAGATGGAGAAAGTGTGAAGAAACGAGTGCAGAGAAAGAAGAAATAGAGCTCATTTCCATGCTTACAAGCAAAGTGCAAGCAGCAGCTACTTGAGTTAAATGGTGGTGACGAACCAGATGGCTGAACTTCTGAATCGGAGTTAAAGTTGGGTTAGGTTAGAAATATGATTATTGATAGAACTCGGGAAGCCCAACGAACTTTAAAATATTTTAGCGATGTTTTTGAAACCAAACTATATAATGAATACATTACAAGGAAACTTCAACACTTTGTGAACCCAGATTTTCATGAAAATTTCAGCATAAGCTAAGAACTGCCTATATAGACAATTCCGAATATTTTAGAATCCGCTCGTCAGTTTCAGCCGAGTATGTTTCAAAGCCGATATTCTGAATTTCAGCACTTTTCAGAGCATGAAATGTGTTGTGTTATACTTAGAATTCAACGAAACTTCATATTTCAGACATTTTGTAAAAATAATATATTTTGGGAAAAAATCTCCCATCCATGGTGGAAAAATTTAGAAAGTTTTGAAAAAAATTGTTGGTGTTGAGGTTCTCTTGTTAAAACATTATTTCCCTAGTTTTTGAAACCAAACTACATATCATAAAATAAATAAATCAAATTCTAAACATGTAGTCAGATCCCCGCCCGAATCCTTACTTTCCAGATGTGATGAAAAAGCAATATACGTTATTTCTCGTCACGAATCCATCGACCATGCTGAACTGACAGTACTCGAGAAGGTTGCCAAATCTGTCTGCGTTGAACCAATTCTGTTGTTTCATGTTGCGGCTCATGGTAAGTATATAAAAAAAGGTCTTGAAAAGCGTTCATTGTACGGGAAGAAAGAAAATTATACCACGAAAAAGGCACCGATTGAAGATTTTGAATATAAACGAGAGTGAAAGAAAATGTAGAAAGAATCAGGGGGAAGAAAGAAACAAAAAGATAAGAGTGGAGATCAGTTATCACGGTTTCGAAGGCACTTTTGTCAATTGCTAATTCCAATTTCTAACCCGTTTTTTGATTTACAGATGAATGCATCTTCGAACACAGTCGTCTGAAGCCTCCCGCGTGTAGCTCCATCGATAGTTCCTCCAGTAATGCAGAATGGATCGAGATGAATCTGCAACAGGTTGAGGTTAGATATTGAATGGTTCCCATTTTTCGGTTCTCTTTGAAATTCCGCCTCATTCCGCAAAAAAATACAGAAAAAAGAAGGAGAAGAGAAGTGGAGACCAGAAAAAAATAATTTAGTTGTCAACTTCACTTTGACATATGAGTTCCGTTTGCGATTTTGGGACGAGTCTCTAGAGTACGGAAAGCTGTAGTTAAGACGAGAAAGAATGAGAAAAATGGAAAATGGTGCACTTTTTGTGATCAAAAATTTGCATAGTCATGTGTGCAGTAGCCATTTCTGTGAAATTTCATGGAAATTTTGGAACGGCTGATAGAAGAACAAGAAGAAGTCAGGCTCCAGAAGGCTCCAGAATGCTCACGAAAACTGGAACTTACTTTTATTGATAGGTTCTCAATTATTCTCAAAAATGCAAAAAAATACAGTACTTTTCAATAAGATATACAAAAACCTTTTTTCAGTTAATTTTCGGCTACTTTGACCATTTTCAGAAGTCAGGAGCTCGCCTTTCAAATTTCCGATAACTTTGAAACTTTTTGAGGATGTAAAATATGAATGGATTGAGAACTTTGCACTCAAAAAATGTTTTGAACCTTCCTAGCTTTCCAGCTACACCCGTTTTTGGCCCGTTTTTAAACGGAAATTGTGGAAAAACGGGTGCCTTTCAGAAATCGGCAAATAGCTGAAAAACTAGGAATTTTCAAAAAATTATGTGAATGCGCAGTTTTCCATCTAGGTGTGCTTAACATCTTCCACAATTTTCTCAGTGATCAGAAACTTGACAGCCGCTACTTTGTGTATACTGACTTGTTTTTGAAAAAAAAACCGAAAATTTGGGAGCAAATTAGGCGACCATTTGGAATTATTGAAACCCTTGTCTATTCATTTTCAGGCATCCTATGGACGTCTTCTGTATCAAGTTGTAGCCAGTTCCAACAGTCGTACACCTACATTTGCCCTCCGATTCGACGGACAGCACTTCCAAAAAATCACCGAGCAGTACGTGCAGTAAATTCCCTACTCATTTTTCATTCTTTTCATTCTCGACCACACGCGATTCTTAGGCACGCAAAAGCTCTTGTCTCCGTGCATCTGGCTTCACATAATTCATTTTTCGAGAGCTCCGTTTTTGAAGAGCAAATTAGGTTCTTTTTTGGCTCCTCTCTCCTCTTCTTCATCTTTTTCTCCCTTTTTTCAAATATTTCTTCACGGAGACTCTCAGTTTTTTGTGTGTGTTCGGTGGAGAGGAGCAAAAAAGTTTCTTTTTCCTTCTATCGTTTTTTTTTCATTCGGAGCACTTGGAGAAGAAGAGCTCCCACAAAAACTGCAAATTTATTCACAAGTCAGTGAATAGAGGATAGAAAGACGCGCCCCGCTGAGCATCGAGAATGGGAGAGGATGAGAGAAAACGAGAAATGCATTCTATGAAATTCGAAACAGATCTGACACATTCGCGAGAAGAAACTCCATGATTTTTTAATCGCTTTCCTAGTTGCAAACGACAAAAAAACAGAGAATAGAAAATGTGAAAAGTGACGGTTGAGCATGCGATTTCGTAGGAAGTTAAAGATTTTTAAAATACTAAAAACACTTCCGGATTTACAAATAACTAGATACCCGAGATCAGATAGGGCTAGAAAAGATAAAAACCAACCTAGTAAAACTAGATTCCTTTCCAGACCATCCGGATGCCTCTCTTCTCCGATCACTCAAATCAAATTCTCTTTGCGCAATCGAAATTTGATCTACCTTCCTTCTGACGATGGTCTGATTGCGTTGATTCATCCAGCTGGAGTCCGTTCTGATCTTCTTCTTCGAGAGGCTCAAATGTCCGGAGTTCTCCCATGTTTGGCGCCAATAGCGACTCCAGAATATCAGAATTGTACCCAATTGATTTCGCCAGTGTGCAAATCTCCGAATGACACTTTGACAGCTACTGAACCGGTAAGACTCCTCAGGAGTCAGTCCCATAACAATTGAATTTCAGCTAAATGGAGTTTGGATGCTTTACTCCTCGGATCCGATGTTTGTTCTGAACTGGAGATGTACGTTCAGAGATGGCGATGACGACTTCAGCCATTCATTCGAGTGCTTCTCAGAATCCTGGGTTGGAGAATGCGAGCGTTCGACACGTGGAACCATCTACGTCAATGTATCTAATTCCACATTCTACACTGTTTTTGATGAAGAGGAGGCTCCGATTCGTACTCCAGAAGCAGAAATCTTCACATCCGGGCGGATATCGGTGACGGATGAACGATTATTATTGTTAAAGATGATCATCTCGTTGGACGGGCGTACTCGTTGTGGTTGAGAAAGACAGAGGGTGGAATGACAGAAAAAGTGAGACAAGACGTCGAATCGTTCTGTGTTTGGCCGATTGAGTCGCAGATCAGGCACACCGTCATGTTATGTTAGCAGAGATGACAGTAGTAATTGAAAGCGACAACCTGTAATTGATATATTGTTTGTGTTATATACTATCAGAATAATAAATTGTTAAATGTACGTACCATAACAGTAGCTGCTCCTACAGTAAGAGGAACAACAACGAGAAGAACTGTGAGTAATGATGTCTTCGTCGCTCCATCCCTTTCCATCAATCCTGGGGGTGGTGGTGGAATTCCGTCGTCCGGTCGATCCATTCGATGAAAAACCAACGGAGCATCATGATGACCAGGTGGCTCAGCAGGCGACATTGAATCCTCTTGACGACTGGAATCGAAATGAGATGAGGAAGAAGGTGATGCATATCCAGAAGAAGAAGAAGACGAGGACGAAGAAGATGACGATGCAGCGGAAGACGTTCTTCTGAAGACACACAAACCAGAATGCATGCGGATTATCGAAAACGGATTCGCAGCCGCCTCAGACACACCCGGGTAGAGATAAAGAGTTTTTTTTTTTGGATTTGAGAAAGCGCAAGACAGATGTTAGCCATTCGAAAAACTCGTGCAATTCATACTTTGTCAAGGTCAAAACTGGGTTATTAGAAGCAGAAAAGGAAATAGAATTAGAGGAAAAAGAGAATGGGGAGTGACAGGAAAATGGTGGAGCAATTTGGAATTTGAAGAAGATTTGTGGCTTCGGAATAATTGAAATATAATTGCTGGTGGAGCCGATTGCTCATTCTACGGAAATATGAATCATTTCAATTTTGATTGGAATGTGATTCTGAGAAATTTTGGAATCAAGAAAGTATCTGTACTAGAAGTAGAAAAAATATTGTCAAGCTCTGAAAAATAACTTTTTGAAGTCTTTTTCACACAAAAACGCCCAAAATCCCTATTGTTTTCCAATGCCATTTTAACATCAGAACTCTAAAAGTACGATTTCAATTCCTCTTCTATTTCCATTCACTTTATATTCCCAGAATACAATTTGTCGTCATCACATCTCCGGATGGCATCGTCTCAAAGTATCCTCCTTTTTGATGTTTCATAGCAAGAAATATCTATTTTATTCTTCTTTTTGCTCCTTTCCATCTTCCACATTCAATTTTTAAGAAGAAGAAGAAGAAAAAGACAGACACTTTTGAAAGACTCTGTGTCTTATAACGAGCCTTCTCCATCTTTTTCTTTATGTCCTTCTTGGCAACATTGAATCAAAAGAAGGAAAAAAGAAAGAAAAAATAAAAAGAAGAATTTGCGATAATCCAATTCTCAGTGTAGCAAAAAAGTGCTAGTGCTCTCTCTCTGTGTGAGTATTGTGTTAAAGGCATGCCACGTCATTTATGACCCCCAAAAATTACCTTGTATGGGTTCGAAGGAAGGCAAAGGTGTTGCAGAATGGTTGATCGCAGGCACACAGATCCGTCCATTTATCATCTTCGTTTCTGAAATTCAAGAGAAAAATAAGATTCTGATGTTAAATTGTTTTTTTGCTAGCTTGAGTTCTATGATAGTTCCATTTCAGGGATGTTTGGAATGGCATTTTAGGAGTTTTTCGGAATGTCGAAATTCCGAGTTTCAAAATTTCGGAACTAAGAAAGCTGGAAGTATTCCGATCGGAATTCGATTCCGAAAAAAGCTTCGGAAGCATTCCGATCTGAAATTCATACCGAAAAAATCTCTTGGAAAAACTCCAGCCGGAATTTTATTCCGATTTTTTTCGGAATCTCCGGAATCCCCGGAATCCTGAATTCCGTTCCGAACATCCCTGGTTCCATTTTTAGATTGTTTAGCTCTTTCGAAAAATTACACAGTACATATATGACAGCATCCGAATTTTATAGATATGAAACTTTCAAATTTCTACAGTAACCTTGATAACTCGGCATTTCACAGAAAATTGTCTCATCGGAGCCCCTTTCCACGAATTTCCGATTCCAGATAGATCCCCAAAACCTTCGACGTACTCTATGGTGTTCCATTTTATTTTAAATGGAGAAAAAATCCACTCGGCTACTATTTCTTCTCTTAAATTTATACATTCTCCTCCCTTTGTGAAAGGCACCGTCAAAAACAAAAGCAGAGGACCTTCTCTTTCGGCTGCCCCGTTCCCATTTTTTCTCCTGCTTCTTCTCAATATATACATAGGATATGTGCATATTTACTCCTCACTATATAGATATTTGTGTAGAAGAGTACCCCAGAAAAGAGTGAGCTTTCAAGTCAAAAACTTGTATGCTTCGTCGATGAAGTGGTGTCCCTTTTCCGTCAGTCAATTCTTGTCGACGTGGTGGTGTAGCTCCTCTGACAAATGATGCGTGAAATGATACATGTTGGTACATGAGAAGAGGAAAGTAATGGAAACGACACAAAACTTTTCTCAGTGTTCTTTTTTGGGGTTTCCTCTTTTTTCCTATCTCTTCATTCCATTCTGACAGATGAACAAGACAAGACGGACATCATTGCGCCTGGATTTGTCATTTGTGATGGATGAATTTGTTGGGAGATGTCGAGAAATCAAGCCAGTAACTTCAGGATAAAGTTAAGATGAAGTTAGGGAACCACGTCTTCATGGTCGACTACACTGGATTCATGGAACGGAGTTCGGATCGATAAGAAGGTTTACTTTTTCCTTTCTTTGAAGAAGATCGCTAAAAATCAAAGCTGTGCAAATCGCGGCCGTATATCTTTCTGAAAATCAACACAATCTTTCTGAAAATCAACAGATTGCTGTGAACCTTTACACAAAATAAAGATTTTTTGAGTCTCCCACAAAATTTTCCTCAAGAAAACTATTCTTTTGGACTTCCTTAAATTTCCCACAATCTCATCCCTGAATTTTGTACCATTGCTCAGTTCGAAAAATTCAAAATCCCGCTCACACAAAATTGTTCAAAAATTCACAAGTTTCTTTTCGTTTCGAGTACTCGGACACACTTTCTTCTAACTTTCTTTTCTCCTGAATCGCATACTAAATGCATTAGGCTCAGTGTGCTTCAAGTCATCTTCTCCTTCTTCTTTCCCGTCTTCTCTGCGTGTGAGAGTAGACTCAAAGAGCATCCCGTTGAATTTCGGGTAATATGAGACGACGGCGAAGCAGCAGAAGAAGGAGAAGAATAAGAAGAGTAAAAGAAGAAGAAGAAGACCTTCTACTTTTTCTCCCCACGGTTTTTGCCCCCAGATCCATCGTATGGGAGCAACAAAAACATAGGTTCTCTCGATTCTTTTGTTCAGAACTTGACGAAAAAAGTTCAGAGGGCACAAAGGGTCGCTAGTACTAAATCTGATATACATGTCTTGCGGAACGATCATAAAATATTATGGGGAAGGGAGGGGCTCGCAGCTTCTGTCTGAGCAATCTCTGATTGTGAGAGCGTTTTCTGGGTGGTAATCGAATGCTTCATTGCTCAGGTGTCTCCCTGCTTCTAGTTGTATTGTGGGGAATTACGACAGATAATAGCCAAACGACATTTAGACTCTCTTGTTCCCTTCCCGCCGTGTCCACACAAAAATAATGCAATCACCACGGTGTCGTTCGTTTGGATTGCTTCAAGAGGTGAGCAGGGAGACGGAGCCACAGCCAAACGACCACGAATTTGTCATTACGAACAAATGGGAATTAGAAGTGTGGAATGAGGTGGTTGTTTCTGGTCGAGTTGAGCTTATTATAACTGGCACCCACAGCCGTCAACACTTTCTCTAATCACCGTTTATGGTCGTTGCATTTTTGATTAACAATTCTTGGACTTGATTATTATTACGAGTGACGACGAAAACTGAGATTGTAGTCCTTATAAGGATCAGAAGACTCTGAAGAATTTCATAACCTCGTCGAAATTTCCGGTTGTGGGACTGGATTTTGTATGATTCGAGAAGCTGGAGCAGAAATATTAGATATAAATTTGACTCCGATTGACCAGAATAAAAATTTGAAGACATTTTTTGGTTACAGAACGGCAGAGAAGTCATTTTGAGATACTAGATTAGAGAAATCTGAAGGCAGAACCTCCACCTTCCACCCCTACCGTAATCTCTCCCAGTCACGTGATTATACTTATTTTCCAAGGAAGGTTCTCAAAAGAGAGAATGAAAGGAGTGTGTGTGTGTGTGAATAATTAATTGTACTCTTTTCTTTCTCTCATCTGGTTCTGGTTCCCGAAAAAAAAAATAAACGGAGACCTTCCGATTTTAAAACAAAAAATTGATGTGAGAGGGAGTGTGGGAAAACTGAATTAAATGGTCGTGTGCTCAGTTTAACTGCTTTTTGACCAAAGAGAGGTCCGGAACCGGAAATTGGAAATTTTATGTGTGTAGTGTTTCTTTTTTAAAAAGTAATACTCACTTATGACAACCCAAAGTATTCGTTCCACATGTTCGTATCACTTGATTGCTGTCTCTGAGAATTCCAACAAGGCAAACTGTGCCATCGCATGAGCCATATGGTACACAATGATCATCGGTACAGTAGCATTTGACAGAATTCACGACATCCGGAAGGAATAGAAGAAGGAGAAGACACTGCATATGATACCGCCATCGTTGTCGTCCGAGCCTCATTCTATGTCATGACAACGAGGTGTGGAATGGACCGAGGCGTTGTCTGAGAATTGAATTTAAATTGGAAGTTTCAGTTTAAAATATTGGAGGTCAAAAAATTTGAATTTAAGGATTGAATCCAGAAAAAATAATAAAAGAGTTCAAAAATACAGTTTATTTTTATCCCGAATGGAAAACCCAGATTTCGGAAAATCAAAAATTTCTCTGAAATTCTTCAAAAATTTATTCTATGTCTTCCATCTAAACAAGCTCAAAATTCTGAAAAATATTCTCAACCACAAGAAGTGAGTCAGTATCACATGTTTGCATTTCTCAGCATGTCTAGGTGGAATTGGTTTCAATAGGAGTTCGAAATAACTAACCATTTGGGAATAACAAGCTAACAAATGAAATTTTCAATTTTCAAAAAAAAGTCCACAAAACTCTAAAAGACTTCCGATTAGCTTGAAACTTTTTGGAACGGGACCTAAACTAAAAGGTGAGTGTTCGGTTGGGAATAAAACATAACAAAAGAGATGCAAAAGGCAAAACAAAGGCGAGAAAAAAGAAAAAAACGGGGCGAAAAAACTCGGTGGGTGGGGTTTCGTCCGACATCTCTTACATACTGCGTTTCTCAATCTCTAGATCTATCTGAGGCAGCGGGTCCCCTCGTCCAAAAGTCTCACTCATCGATTCTGACGGACAAAGTCGGAAGGGATTAAGCCACGCCCCTTTCCCTTTCTCCCGGGAGCCACACCGTATGCCCCGCCCACTTTTTTTTTGAAGGACCCTTCTTTTCTTGCCCCAGTGATGTCATTTTTCATAAGTTTTAGGTGGTGGTTCTTTTTAGTGTAAAGATTGAAATTGGATGAGAGGAAACTAGAGAATCCTGGGATTCACTACCAGATAGGGCGAGACAAAAAGAGAAAGAAAACAGAAAGACATAATAAGCTAGATTGTGAATGCATCATCATCATCAGCATCAGAAGAGAAACAGACGCGTCGATTCGATTCTCTTCTTCTTCTTCTCATCTTGTTGCCATTTCCTTCTTTTCTTCTCGCTATTTGCTCTGTATTGCCCAACGGCAGGAAGTGAAGAGAACAGAAGAGTGAAAATGTATATTTACATAAATCTATTCAATTTACATTATATTTTCGGGAATGTTTAGAACATCGTCCCTTCGTATTCCTCAGTTTATTCCTTGAGTCTGAATCTGCGTTCATTTTCGAAAATCAAGGAGGTCGCCGTTTTTTTTCTTTTTTGGGTTATCGTTATTCTACTTATCGTGGAACTTTCTGGAATGAGAAAAATATGAGCTTCCCCAGTCAACAACTTTGCTCACAGCGTTGGCCGTGACGATAGGTCTCGACACAAAAAACCACAGCAACCGAAAAACATTCCAATTTTGACAAATTTGTCTCGATTTTTATCTTTCCAACAATTTTCCTGATATTTTTCCTAATCTAAAAAATGTTTCATGGTGGCCGGGCAGTAACCGGACGTAAATCAGGAAAAAGCGTAAGAAAAAAAAACCAGGGTACGGTAGTTTTCACTCTGTCCACAATTAACTCTGCCAGATCGATACAAATTTTTCATTTTTGATTGTCTCGTAGAGATGTTGAGGAAAAACATAGATTGATACCGTAGTTTAGTGTCAGGGCATCATTTACTTCGAACGATCAGAAAACGATTATATTTTTCTCTCTATCCTTTTCTCAGAGTTCCGTCTCTATGTCAGCATCTAAAATCCTTATTTAGACCTCTGCCATTCATCATCAGTACTTATTTTCATTCTCTTACTTCCTGCTACACAATTACTTCTTTAGAAATACCACGTTGTAAGGGTATTCTCTTGAAATTGAGCTGTTTTTGTGTACCGGAACAAAAATATTTTTCAGAAAAGAACACAACTACAGAATTCAACAAGTACAACCTCTTGAAGACTAGTTCACCAACTAGTGATTTCATTTCTGGCAAAAATCAAGCACCGGACCAAAACCAAAAACTTCGTGATATTTGAGCCTTGAAATTTCAAGTAGCTGGTCACTTATATTCTGCGAAATCTAACAAAACTTATTTTTGCAGCTAGAAATTTCACACGCCGTTCCCCATTAGTAATTTCGTATAGATTTTAAGATTGAGGGTGGAAGAAGGATGAAACTGAAAAAGTTTGTGAGGAGAAAAAGTAAATACTCGAAAAACGAGAGATTGATACTTATTCATGTTCAAGAAAAAATAGAAAAAGCGGTCAACAAAAACAAGAAGAAAACAAGAAAAGGGGTGGAAAGAGAGAAAGGAAGTACAGTAATCCGCTGATGTGGTTCCATTGTTTTAGTATGTACCTCAGAGTCAATTGGAGTATCCGGTGAAAAATGGGAAAATGGAAGGCGAGAAGAAGGTCAATGATTTAGGAGTCGGATGGAGACATCGGGATCAAAAAACGAGAATATCAGGATATAAGGGATACATTGAATTCAGATATTTTAATTCGTTGAATTGAAACCTTTAAAACTTTTCAGAGAACTGTACAATGACATTTCTGAAAACACGAAAAACTGTTCTTAACGCGCTTTACAGTAATTTTTTTGAGGAAAAAGTAAGCAGAAGGTCCCACAACGACAACTATTTACAGTAACCTGTATTTCTTTTCTCGAATTCCGTGTTATTTTTCACCAAAAAAACGAAAAAAATTTTTGATTATCAAAAATTTACTGGAAAAGTACAAAAATCGAGATAATAAATCCGGAAAATCTAAATATTTTTAGGTTACGGTAGTTGTCGTTTTGGGCCTTCGGCCACAGCCACCGGTGTTTCTCTTCCACAGCTCCGGTTGTTTTTTATTAGTCTAATACCCTTTGAGACGAACCGAGAAAATTTGGTTCAAATTTGAAAGTTAAAGGGCTATTCTATTTAGGTTTTACAGTATTTCTGATTTGAATACTATTAATGGTTGAAAAAAAAAATTTAAAAACATGAAAAATTCTGGAAAAACGTCCCTCAATACTAATTTCCATAATGGAGAGTGACCAGTGAAAACCAAATGAGGAGTCTAAAATCAGTATTTTGAAAAAAAAGCTCTTCCGCTTTTCAAAAAATAAAGGAAAACAAGCATTCTCAGCAGAAGCAGGAGAATCAGCTCATAGTGGTACGATAAGCAATATACTAAAAAACAACAACAATAAATTATTTGGCGGCGGGAGAAGTAGAGGAAGAGCTACTCTATAATTAGTTTTTTCTCCCCTTTCAAAGTTTCTTCTTTTTCTTTCTGTTACTGAGATCTATATTAGAAGGGCGAGAAGTTGAAAAAAATAGACGGAGAAGAGGTCCTTTCATCGTCAAAAAAAAGAAAGTAAGTGAGGCGGGGAAGGAAGAAAAAGGGAGCACGGAGCAACGGAAGCGAAACAACTTACGGAAGGAAAAGAGAAGTTGAGTTGACGGAGGCAATTAAAGGAAGCCAACGGATGATGATGAACAACAGGCAAAAATTTATGAAGTGAAAGGGAGAAGAAGAAGGCGTTATTATTGGAGAAATTTTCTTCTTCTTTTGGGAAAAACAACTGGGAATTTGTGAGATAAACTGTCTAGCTATCAACTCCGTGGATACGGCTGAATAATGGAGTGTGGAATGAAGCTTTACTGGGGTTGATGAGTAGGAAAATCGTCGGAAGTTATAAGCTGAGATACTTCTAGGTCGGAACCATGTTATCAACTGCCAGCGACACTTGAGATACAGTATGAGTTTCCAGAATTTCTTTCGCGACATTATCAGCGTTACAGATGGTTCTATTCTACGAAAATCTACAAAAAGAAATCGAATGACTGTTTCCTCTGACAATGCGACGAATGAAATGAATCCATCCATTCGGATTCGAACGATTCCACAATGAAAAGTCTGGCTCAATAATACCGTATGCCGATTTTCCCTCTTCCTATTCTTTCAGCAATTGCCTTTCAGTCGTCCACTACTCTTACCCTTCTCTATTTTTACTTTCCACTTTTTCCACCCAACGTCAGCTACTCGGATGGAAATTTCAAGTTTCCGTATCAAGTAAAAACATGTCTCAAGTGTTTTTCGCTCTCTGACTCTTTTTACTTTTTTCTTCTGCTCCTTACAGCTCAACAACTAGTACTACGTAACCGAATTTCAAATTTTTTAGAGACGTCGACACACTTTTTTGTTGTTGTATGAATGGGGATGAGTTGAAGTGAAAAAGTAGAAGAAACAATCAGAAAATAAGATTGAAGCTGCGAGAAAATAAAACAGTAAACAGATTTTAGATGACTATGGAGATGCGAAATTTGAAGCTCGAGTCAGATTCTTGGTTTGGAATGTAGCCTACAAAAGTTATCTTCAAACAGAATTGCAGTATTGTACTCGTTTATAAGACACCAAAAATTATAAGAGTGTGACTAATGAACATTATTTGAAATCCCTAATGCTGATTTTCCAGATGTCCAACTTAAAATTCCGCTTCGAATCACAATTCGACACCATCATTTGTTTTTTTCTGAAAAGAAGCAACGAGAACAAGAGAAAAAAGGAATAAAAGGATACTCTTTTTAAAAGAGAAACGACAAAAAAAGAGGCAGGAGAGATGAAAAATTCGATGATTAATCAAAACGAAACGAAAAAGAAGAAAAAAGCAGAAGCCTCCCCGACCGCAAAAATGAAATATGTGGAAACGAAGGATCTTTTTTCGGTGAAAGGAGCCGCAAAAAACATGCATTATGAGATTTCAGAAAACGAAGGATACGAAGACGAAAATTTATTATAATCATTGACGTATAGTCAAAGAATCATAGGCTTTCGGAAAAGCGAAATGTCTTCGAATCTCTTGCAGACCAAATATTTGAAAATGGAATTTTCGAGATACAATGTCTTGATGGCGATAATTTTTTTTCCAGATAAATAGAAATTACAGGGTGGCGCACTGTTACCCGGACTCTTAAAAGTGGGTAAATCTGTAGGCATAAATATCTTGGATACACGAAAAGTGGTAGAAATATAATTTTATGCTTGATTCAAAGCTTCTGAAATTTTCAAAGCTATTCTTCAAGCCTAGGTATCATTATGACTATCCAAAGATGAACGGCGCAATGTTTCTTGCACGGAGTTGTGAGATGAAGCGAACTTTCACAAATGATAACTCAACTCAGAATTGATCAAATAATTTGAAACTTTGTCAGTTTACTGATGACTATTTGAATGGTCGCACCCTAAATTTGAGGCCGGTACAACTTTATTCAAATTTTATGCTAGTTCTTTAGTCTGTGTGATTCTGCCACCTTATATACAACTTTAGAACTTTAGAACGACTTTTAAAGTTCTCATAAAAAAATAGCAGATCTACTTATACTCCTTTATTGAATTCCTGAATGAAAGTTTTGAAATAATTTCCCGTTATAAGAATACATGTATTGGTGGAAGTGCATCTCTTCGATTCTTCTCCACGTTCTTTCTCGTTATCCGATATACTGGTTCAGTCAACGACGACTTCTTTTTTATCCAAGAATGCTGTAAAAGAACACTGGCAGTCGGTCGGAAATCACAACATAATTGGAGATGAAGACGAAGAAAATTGTCGAATTCCTGTGACACTTCTTTGCATCTCACTGAAAATTGGTATACTATGTCAGATGAGATTAGGATCATATGATGACTCACAAATTTCAGCCCAATTCTTTCTCGGCTCTTTAGGCTCAAACAATAACTTGTTTGCATCTGGCATTGATCTCCATTTTGGCCAATTTGTTTCGTTTGGAGTTCCCAGAACACCGAATATCACGGATATCTGTTCCAACTCACTTCTTCCCTGAAAATTCGTGTCATCTTGTGGAGAATCGTTTGAGTTTACTAACCGGAAAAATAGGTTTTCCTCTGACAAGTTCAGCCAAAATGCATCCAATGGCCCAAATATCGACCATCGGTCCATATTTTCTGTATCCAAAAAGTATTTCTGGAGCACGATACCATCGAGTTGCCACCTGGAAAACACATAAAAGAGATCTCTCTTTTTCATCCCATAGCGGCATTTTGGTGTCGTTTGATTTTTCAACGGGGCTCCATAAATCTGGAGAACAAGTGATTTTCTCATTCCCATCAGTAGTGCCCTTGCTCTACATCACATCCATCAATCTTGTTCAAAATGATCTCATTGCAGAGAAATCGAGACGGCATGTGGAAGAAAAAATAATAGAAGATAACATGAGAGGATTGGGAAACAGGTGCATCCTCACAGAACAAGAAGAAATCACAAAGTATGGGAAGAGGCTAATTTTTTTAAATGAGAGGGATCTTTGATGTCATGTGAAGAACATGAAAAGTTATAAGATCTTACATTTTCATCGTATTCTTCGTCTGGTCGTTCTTTTAGATGAAAACACGCTTGCCCGAAATCAGCGATTTTGATAATGTTCCGAAGTGTAACCAGAATGTTTTCCGGTTTTATGTCTCTGTGCATAATGTCCTTCGAATGAATGTAGGCAATTCCAGACAAGATTTGGGCATAGAACCATCTGGAAATTTTTAAAAAATCGGTGATAACTTGTTGCTAAAATGAAGTTACACTGATAGGAAAACTAAATGGCTCGTATTACAAGGACTAAAGTTTGTAGAGCGCTGTACAGGGCTCAAATTTGGAGTGCAATAATTCTAAAAACTCATCAGTATACTGGCAAAGTTTCGAATTGTTTTATCAACAAGACGGTCAAGTTCATTCAATATTTTTCCAACTGGTTACCATTTTCCCACCTATTCAATTCTTCTGTTTTTGGCCTCGATTTATCATTAATCACATCTGCAAGTGTATACGGAACCTCTTCGGTAACTATGGATACCATATCAGCCGTACCAAAACAATCCAAATATTTGAGAACCTGTAAATGTTCCCCCGTGAGATTATGAAGCAGACTTGTGTCTACGCTTACGTTTCGATGATGGAGACATCGGAGGCAGCTGACTTCACGAACGAGCTGAATTTTCGAAACATTTGGAATCAGAATTCGTTTGATTGCAACTCGTTTCTTTGTCTGAAATGAGAAACCTCTAACGGTAACCGTCTGACGAACCCACAACATTGTCTCTGGCTATAACAACAAGACCAAAAGCACCTCGACCGGCGACTTGAATAGTTTCATATCGATTAAATGAGAGTGTCATAGGAAAATAACATCAGAATGTAAACGGGAAGATAATAAAGGTCATTTTGGGGCAGAAAAAGAGAAATATTCTGGCACTCGATAAATATTTGGAAGCAAAGAAAAAGAGAAAAAGGAGGAACGGAGAGACGGAGGGGAATGTGCGGACGGATGTCGTTGGCATGGAGACAACAAGTATTCAGAGAAAACGGACCTTTCATAAGTTTTCCCCACACTTGTCACGGGCCGGGCTGGGCGTGGTTAGAATGAAAAAAACCTGGGGTCACATTCTGATATTTCGAAATTCTAAAATATTTAGAAACCTTTCAAAGTTTCGATATTTTTGTAAGGGTAGAGAATATCAGGAAATTTTTGCTACCGCGGAATTCAATGAATGTTTTCTGGAACTTTCAAAAAGTCAGACAAGTATGTTCTTCCCGAAACATCTTTTCATGTTAATAACTGCATTTTGTGAAGTTTTGTTTATTAAATAATGAAGGAATGTACATAATATTTTGACAAGAAATATACAATTGACTTTGTTAGAATCGGTTTACTTTATTTTCTCTTTCCAAAGCCTGGATATCCGAATCCTCCATTGCCAAAACCTCCATTGTTGTATCCGCCTCCCAAAGCATCTTGAGCATAATAGCAGGCAGCTCCGTTGGCTGGTTGCAAATTGGTTACATAACTAAGAATTTCACATTTAAAAGCGAACTCTCCAACTTGGAACAGATTGACGGCGTCGCAATCGAACTGACGACAAGCTTCTTTACACTGCTCGATGTCCTAAATGATTTGATTTCTTTTTTTAATCTTCATTTTGGACCCACCTGAACATTGTCAATATCGTATACTTTTCCTCCTTTGCATTCCATTTTCTGCTGGAGCAAATAGGCTCTTGCTCCAACAAATTGAGCGTAAGGAAGAACTAAAACTTGATTCATTAATACATGCTCTATCTAATTTAATGGTTAGTAGTTGGTTGATGACCAACAAAAGTTCACAAATGCCAGAGAACCGAGTATTTGAAGTGGAGGTTTTTTGGTGAAAAATGCAGTAGTGAATCGGATCAAAACGGATCATTCAGGGGCAATTTGTGAACTTACAACTATGACACGCACCAGCCATATCCAAGAATAAAAGACTGACAAGAAGAACGGTAGACGATGTTGAATGCATATTTTGGAACAGAATGGAGACTGTTCTGGAGCTCTCTCTCTCTCTCTCTGAACTGGCGTATTTGTTCGAATTACAGGGCAGGAGGATCAACAAACACAGCCAGAGACGGAAATGAATGGAATGAATAGATAGGGACAAAATATGGAAATACAAATAAGGAAAAAGAAAGGAGGAATTGGGTGTGAAGTGGTTGGCAGAAGAGCACTGGTCTAAAGAAAATGCCTGGATGTCCAAAGGGCAAATTGGGTTGACCCAAAATCTGTTGAGCTGGTTTTCGAGAATTAATTTAAATTTCAAAAAATATAAACAAAGCTCGAAATATATGTACATAGATGTGTATTAAAATTTGGGAAGTTTATTGCATTAAAAAAATTGACAACTATACTTCCTCTATTAGAAGCCCACATAAATTGTCAACTTTGAGCCTATATATCTCCCTTCCTGTAAAATAGATCGAAAAGTATTCAATTGGCAGAATATTGATAATATTATGATAAATAGTTTGCAGTTGATAATTTTTGATATCTTTTACAGGAATCAAGACAATTGAGCTCAAAGTTGACGGTTTGGGCGGGCTTCTATTAGAGGATATATGGTTGTAATTTTTTTAGAAACTTTACTCATACCCTAGAAATCGAGAATTCTAATAAATGCTAAGTTATGTTTGTACTAGAACTTGCTCCTATTATGGCAAAAAGTGCAGAAATGACTCATATGGAATTATAAAAACACAAAAAAAATTGAGTGACGAAATGGTGTTCTCTTCTCTCGACCTGCAACGGTTTATATTTGACATGACATGTAATCCGGTTCATACGCTACCGAAATTGAGAGTTTTGATTTTTTTTTCTTTCTCGATTTTCTACGGTTTCACTATCTGGGTCTCTTCCCATTTTGTACTATATAACCCTAAAAAACTGGAATATGCAAATCTGAAATCCTAAAATTTTCCATGAAAATTTATGAGCACAAACCGGAAACGCAAATCAACGAATAATAAAAAACGAATTCTAAAGCAGATATAATGAAATGTATGACATAATTCGTGAGCAAACGAGCAATGCTTTTATAGTGTACCATTTGAAAGGACATGTAACAAACAAGCAAGTACAGTAACCAACAATTCCATTGTTCGACGAGAGAGACTGTTTAAACAGAATGTTCTTTTCTGGAGAGACGACGCCTTTTCTGGTGACACAATTCGGATCATAAAATCATTTGAATTGGGTGCATTTAGAAAAATTCAAAATGACGTGAGTTTGTAAATAGATCAAAGCTGAAAAATGAAAAAAAAAAACGGCCGAAAAATGTTGTTGAGAATAGTTTGTTTGATTTCGATGTTGATTCTTGGTTCCAAGTTCAGGTCTGAACATCTGATACTGAAAAACCAGATGACTTGAATACCGCAAAACCTGTATTGAAAGGGCCCTTTAACAAAATGGATCCTCTAGATATCCCAAGAGGGGCTTTGAAAAGTAGAAGGGCTCCTGTAAGAGTGGCACAACACAAAACGCTGTATGAATTTCAAAATTCCCATGCGTTTTTAGTGAAATACTTTCCGGAAATTCCAAAAATTAAGAGCAATTTGTTGAAACACTTTTTTATGGTCAAAAACATGCTCAAATTTGGTGAAATCGATAGATTTTAGAAGGACACACACTAAATGAAGGGCCTCTGCAATAGAAGGGCAGGCCCTTTTAAAACAGGGTTTATGACAGATTCAAATGAAAAGTCAATATCGGTTTCAAAGAAGTGACATTACATTTTCAAATATATCCTGATCTCAGCCTTCTAATACGGGTTTTACATATATTGTATATTGATCCAGTTCGGATAGTTTCTCGCATCAGCTTTGATCGTCCTTCAAAACTCAAGCTATATTTCCAAACAAAGCGAAACCAAAAACATCCGTTGTGCTAATCGCTGATAGTGATTCTCTTGTTTTTGCTTGACGTAGATTTCAGGTTTAACATTTATAAATTTACTAAAAAGTGGCGAATTTCTAACTAATCTTCAATACAAAATAAGGTGTTATCTTGTCTGGAAATGAATCTTTTATATCGGGCGGAAGTTGGAAAACAGACGCATATAGACCAGGAACAAACGTTATTTCAGTAGTCGTGAAAATTGGAATCGCTGAAATAAATGCATGAAAATCCACATCTTTTAAATTCCCCCGTTATCGTCCAGTAACTTTTTTCCACCATGACCTCCAATTATCTTTCCTGTTTCATCTGTTCGTTTTTATTTGTGTTTGTGTTGTTTTTTGGTTTTTAATCGACCTTTATATTTTATTGGTCTAGAGGCTACGATTGAGGTTTGTATCCTGACCTAAATCAAAAAATCTAGTACTATTGGCTGAATGACCTCTTCACGGAAAATTAGGGAAATGGGTACTTCCAAGAGATCATCTAATACGGAAATTACGTCAGTATCAAGAGCTACCGTAAGCATAGAAAGAACACTGATACACTACAGAAGTAGAGTACTGAAGTTTTAAAAGAACTTCCAATTTGCTCCAAAATCCAAAGTGAGGTTCGACCTTTCATAGAATGACTCATCCTTAACTTTTAACTTTGAGTTAATTTATCTTGGTTGGTGCGAAAGATATCAAAAAATAGTGAGCTAATTAAATGTTTTCGACATTATAATAAACATTTTGCCAGTTAACCACTTTTTGATATCTTCAACATCGAGATAATTTAGCTCAAAGTGGAGGCCTGGATGGCATTCTATAAGAGTGTTTTCGGCATTAAGCTTTTGGGTCAACTGGGATTGTCCATACGTGATAATTGTTAAAATTGGTCAAAGACGCCCGGCTGTTGTACTAACAAATGTTAGTTTTTATTTGTACTTTTTTTACCGTCTTCTTATTTATTTTTATCATTCCATTCTTTCTCTGTCCTCAGCTGTTTGAACAAGTCTACTCGTTTTTATCCCCCCATTGCACTCTTAAACTGCTCAATTTAATTCAAAGTATCATTACTCTTTTCGCATGCTGGGAAAAAAAAACCAATTTCGTAAATATAATTTCTCTGTATACGATGCTTTCCACTAATTAGTTCATACTGGAAATGGCACGGATGGAACTGGAACATAAGATTGGTTTATTTTGCTGGAGAAGAAAAGAAAAATGTATTAATTCTTCTACTCTGATTTCTATTCTTGTTTTTATACAAAGTACACAGAATGAGAAGAGGAAGGAAAATATCAAAAGATGATGATCCACTTGTTTCTATTTTCATGATGATTTGTCCTTGGAAGATCTTTTTTCTCGACATTTTCCAATATAAAACCAGGTCGCCATGAAAAGTGGGCGTGGATTATCTTTGTATTACGATGAGGTTACAAACGAGTCATAAGTAGGCACAAATACCAAATATCCTTTTCTCTGCACAAAGTATTTATAAAAACACAAAAACTCCAAAAAAGTACATTCAGTCGCTTCCTTGTCTCCTTCGAAATCAGCTCATTCTCCATGTCTAGCCTAGAGTCTAGCTTCTGCAAAAATAACGACTTTTGCACTTTCTCCAAAAAGTCTATATAGCTTTATGTCGTTTCATCTGCTCTGCCTAAAGATAAGCCTATGTTTTCTTGCGCGGATTTCCACCTGATAACTAATCTTTTCTCTTTCTGCAAACTGGTTTCTCGCCTTCCGATGTTTTCGAATAAAAATTTTCTTAACACATAATTTTGAATCCAGAATGTTTTTTTGAAAAAAATTTAAAGATTACCAGCCTGCATTTATTTTATTAATATTAATTGATTATCTCTCTGATCCCCGTGCGTGTTCAAAAAAGCATACCGTATTTGCTCTAATAGAAGCCCACCCTAGACGTACACTTTGTGCTTAATTATCTCGATTCCTTCAGAACATATAAAAAACCTGTCAACTGATAAAATATTTATTGTAAAACTACCAACATTTTATCAGTTGACAAGTTTTTAATATCTTTAGGAAGAACCGAGATAGTTGTCCTCATAGGAACGTGTAGAGTGGGCTCATATTAGAGCACGGTAAGTCTTTGTGGAAGAGAAACCCTGGTTTCCGCGGCGGAAGGTCTCATATAGAGAACTACAGTAACCTAAATATGTTTTAAATGTTCGGATTTTTGAGGGTACTGTAGTTTTCGTTCAGGGAGAACCCTTTTTTGGCCGGCATAATTCTCATGGTTTTTGCAAGAGGGTCTTAAAAACTTATTTTTTTATTTAAAGTTTCTAGGTTTCATTGAAATTGCGGAAACTATGAAATTGTATTTTTGAATTCAGAAGAGTTTTGAGTTTGAGTTTTTTTTTAACACTCCTACAATTCAAAAATCAATGAAAGTACATTTTTCGTTTTTGTAAATTTCTTTCATCTCTAGATTGGTTCGAAAACTACACTATTGTCGTCACATACACACAACAGCTGTTTTTCACTGGAGTTACTTTTATTTATTGAAAACTGATAACCCATGGAGGCACGTGGTCTGGGAGGACGCTTCCAATTGTTTATGTACACTTTGACCTACTCGGTAAATGTGGGCAACTTCTTCCCCAACTCTGGGCAGCTTTTGTCCCAACTCCAGGCAACTTCTAGCATTTCATAGGTCAAACGCTGCCCAGCTTTAGGAGAACTTCTGCACAGCGTTTGCCCACTGTAGACAGCCCGCTCTGGCCCCTTCCCTTCCCGCTCTTCACCCCTCTTTCTGGAACATGTTAAGATTTGCTAGCTTGCTAAACAGTATTTAGTTTATTTTAGGAAGCAGAAAAAATAACAGAAAAGGATGGAAGACAGAAAAAGAAAACAGAAAAAAAAGTCAAAATGTTAGAAAAAACGGCTCCGGGACATTTCGCAAACAAACATTTCGAAAGCGTTTCAATACAGGCGAATGGGTGAATTTCAGACTACAAAACCATTTTTATGGTTTTCAAATATGCTTTTTCTGATAGAACACACTCTGAAATCC